ACACACACACACACACACATTTCCCCTCCCCTATGGGTATCATGCGTTGTTAAGGCGGGGGGAGGAAAAAGATAAAAAGTTTTTACAAACTTAATCTATGTGATCCTGAAAGTAGGTTAATGTCATTTATTGAAAGACTTGACAGCCCATAATTCCAGCACGCTACTGTCCAAATACCATCATCCTAAGCCTATTGGTTATTCAGAAGAAGTCGCTTAAATTGAACCATTGACTCCTAACGGGCAGATGACGGACATAACTTAGGAATGAGGGGAGGGAGTGTGACCTTTGAAGTGTGAGGTAATGTGACCTTTGAGATGTGAGATAGTGTGACCTTTGAGGTGTGATGTAGTGTGACATTTGATATGTGAGGTAGTGTGACCTTTGAGGTGTGAGGTAGTGTGATCTTTGAGGTATGAGGTAGTGTGACCTTTGAGGTGTGAAGTAATGTGACCTTTGAGATATGAGGTAGTGTGTCCTTTGAGATGTGAGGGAGTGTGACCTTTGAGATGTGAGGTAGTGTGACATTTGAGATATGAGGTAGTGTGACCTTTGAGATGTGAGGGAGTGTGACCTTTGAGGTGGGAGGTAGTGTGACATTTGAGATGTGAGGGAGTGTGACCTTTGAGATGTGAGGGAGTGTGACCTTTGAGGTGCGAGGTAGTGTGACATTTGAGATGTGAGGTAGTGCGATCTTTGAGATGTGAGGGAGTGTGCTATTTGAGATGTGAGGGAGTGTGACCTTTGAGGTGCGAGGTAATGTGACCTTTGAGGTGTGAGGGAGTGTGACCTTTGAGGTGTGAGGTAGTGTGACCTTTGAGGTAATGTGACCTCTGAGGTGTGAGGTAGTGTGGCCTTTGAGGTAATGTGACCTCTGAGGTGTGAGGTAGTGTGACCTTTGAGGTAATGTGACCTTTGAGGTGTCAGGTAGTGTGACCTTTGAGGTAGTGTGACCTTTGAGATGTGAGGTAGTGTGACCTTTGAGGTAATGTGACCTCTGAGGTGCGAGGTAGTGTGACCTTTGAGGTAATGTGACCTCTGAGGTGTGAGGTAGTGTGGCCTTTGAGGTAATGTGACCTCTGAGGTGTGAGGTAGTCTGACCTTTGAGGTAATGTGACCTTTGAGGTGTCAGGCAGTGTGACCTTTGAGGTAGTGTGACCTTTGAGATGTGAGGGAGTGTGACCTTTGAGGTGTGAGGGAGGGTGACCTTTGAGGTGTGAGGTAGTGTGACCTTTGAGGAAATGTGACCTTTGAGGTGTCAGGTAGTGTGACCTTTGAGGTAGTGTGACCTTTGAGATGTGAGGGAGTGTGACCTTTGAGGTGTGAGGGAGTGTGACCTTTGAGGTAATGTGACCTCTGAGGTGTGAGGGAGTGTGACCTTTGAGGTGTGAGGGAGTGTGACCTTTGAGGTAGTGTGACCTTTGAGATGTGAGGGAGTGTGACCTTTGAGGTAAGAGGGAGTGTGACCTTTGAGGTAATGTGACCTCTGAGGTGTGAGGTAGTGTGACCTTTGAGGTAGTGTGACCTCTGAGGTGTGAGGTAGTGTGACCTTTGAGGTAGTGTGACCTTTGAGGTAGTGTGACCTTTGAGGTAGTGTGACCTTTGAGATGTGAGGGATTACTCCCCGAGACCGAGCTTTTCTTAAGAAAGAAAATCGTGGGCCGAAAGGACAGAGTGTTGGATTAAAGAAGTTAATAGTGTCAGACAAGGGCCGGCTGTTGTGAGATAAGGATGGTCACGAACCTTTAAGTCTATATATAGGTCGAGTGGCATACCTATCAACGTCACGATATCGTCCAGACACTTAATATTATTGTTTCCCATTCGTATTGAGTATTTTCAGCTAACGTTACGTAGTAAGACACAATAGTGTAATATACAGAATCTTAACTTGTACAAAGTATACCAGGATTGTTGGCTTTTGAAATTTTAGGAAAAATGTGTATAATTGACAATGACAATTGTTTTATTCTCATAAACAATACAGTGTAGAGAATTTGTATATTCCAGTACAATTTTAAACCTTCACAGGTTAATAAAGTCTTTGGTGTATTACCCACTGTATGCTCATAAAAAGCGACTATCATAATGGCCTCCCTTTAGAAGAAAGGTTGTTTGTCTGTGTCCTCTAGATCTGCTCACGGGAATTTGGAGAAACCAGAACTGAGATGCTTTACCAATAAAACAGTTTGGATCTTCTTCTTTTCCATTTCTAAACTTTTCTATAGGGTTTATAATCTTGTGTCGAAGCACATCTTCTGTTTACTCGCTGTATACAGTACTAGTAATGAACAGCATCATGAATCATAACACAAAGAGAAAATGTCTTACCCGGACTGTTGAGTGTTGCACTGAGGTGAGCATGGTTTAAAAGTTCATCTAGGATGCTGAACTGGCTATGATCGTGGATGTACTGGGATAATGTCCTGTTTTCAACACATAAGACAAAGGCCAGTTGGGAAAGGAAAAACACAAGAAGCTTCATATTGATGTCAGTTGGAAAGGTGGACGGCTGTTTCGGTTCCTTTGCTGTCTCGAAGGAAGGAGTACAGGGGCCAGCCGGCTGTTATGGTCGAGATATCATATTCTCTGGGAAAAGAACCAGGTGTCACTCTATATGGGAGAGTCGGTCAGACACGAATTTTGATTACAAAACCAGTCTAAAATCATGATAAACCACTAGAAAGTCAGCGAAATCATTTCCTCCTAGATTCATGGTAGTTTCAAACATTTTGTTATAGAATCCATACACGTATTGCATGTTGTTTTACACGTACTACTGGTTCTTCTATAATAGTAGGCGTTTGATAACAAGAAATGAGTTCAGAAAGCGTAGAACGTTTTATAGAGGCCGAAACAGTTGCTAAAAACGGGTAATATTCACTGTTAGTATAAGTTCACATCTAAATCTCCAGTTTAAGGGACCAGCATGTGTTGTCTTAAAGCATTTCTGAATTTCCCTTCATGTAATAAGATATCTCTCGTGGCCTCCCGTGCATAACGTTATTTTCTATTTGCATATTTAGACGATTTATGTTGTTTACGTTCCCTGGATTCCTTACAACAATACACAATTTACGTATTATCAATTAAATTTCAGCGGAAATGTCGCTTTGATAAATGTTCATCCAAGAATTCGAAACCCTGTCAATGTGTGTGTTTCACTGGCCTATAAGATTAGGTAGAAAACCATCCTATTTCAGGAGAGGTCAGGATGTATTAGCAAACATACTCTTAGCAATGTCGAGATCACGTCTCTGAAAACACCTGTTGAGTATACATGTAAAGTTAGTTATCAGATATTTGCAGACAAACCACAGCCAGAAGCCGTCTCAAGTAATGATATTTTCCAGACAAATAAATGTGTTCATTTTAGAATAAAAGTATCTTATAACGTTTATATACCAAAAATGTTTTGATTATAGATGGGCTAGGTCATGAAATACCCGTGACAAAAATATCAATCCAAATATTATCATTTGGTGTCGTGCTGTTCTGAATCCAAACATTATATTTAGTCTAGCTCTGGTGTCTAAAACAAATCTGACAACGGATGAGGTCTTGAGAGTGCTGATACACCCATCTGTAAAACTGATATAGCCTGGAGCTAATGATAACTGGTAGGTGCCGCACGTTAAATCAAATATTCCAAGTTGAGCTCTGGAAAAGTGATTGAAGATGCATCCATCTTTACGAATTCTGACTTTGCTCTCTTTGAGAGAGCTTGTTCTGTTTTCACCCTCTGCGCCAACCAGCTTGTTTTATAGAAGTCGAAACTTCATTTGTTTTCCGAGTTCTTTGTCTTTTCTGTCAGTTTCCGGTCATCTTTGATAAATTGGTCCCAGTATCCCATTGAGGTATGCAATCACATTTTTTATTATTTCCTCAATTATATTAATGAAGCAATTTGATATATGTCGAGTTCTAAAAATATCCAATGCTTGAAGACAGCCATGATAAGACTCTACAATCCATCGCGATATAGTAAGTGTCCTGTCAATGTTAGCCTGTAGATCAGAGTATAGGCTCTGACCAGGCTTAAGTTATGAGGACATACTGGTATTTATACCAGATGCCTCTAACATCTACAACCACGATCAACGACTACATTGTCGTCTTGCTCCAACCATGTGAGCTTGTCTATGATGTTTTCTGGTAATGCTTGCATCATTTTGGCTTCCACAGAATGGTCCTACATGTACTGTGTCCAACATGTACCAATCAGGTAGATATTTGCTCATGCGTAAACGGTAATTACTCTCCCCCTGGCCACAGTAAGAAATTATCTAAAGCTTATGGTAGGCACATTTTTGAATATTAGTATATGTACCATCTAGTATGGCAATCACGCTGTCTCCAAAGAGTCTTTCTGAGAATACAATATTGTGTGGAAGTATGTTCCCAACTCAAATGGTCAGGTCCAAGGAACACTGGAACTATAGATTTATTACATGCTTGTACTACAGAATGAAAGATTTTTGAAATAAAAGACAGAGAAATGCCAAAAAGAGCGGAACACAGATTCCAAGAGATATCAGTTTTCATCTTTAACCCAAAACAGTAAAAGAGTATTTTGTGTAATTTTGGTAAATACTGAAGAAGACACAAATGGGACCATGTACGAATGGATTTTCAGAAACTGTTCTTTGGACCAACCTGTCCAAGCTTTGCAGCCGCCAGGGGTCATCCAAGAGAGAGGAATTGAGAGTGACGGCTGATTGGTTCTTTCAGACAACCTACTTAATAATTGAGAATCCAAAGACTCTCTTCCTTGAAGATATCCTGTGTACACGGGTTCAGATCATTGCCAATAAGATGAAATTAGCATACACGTGATGACGCAGAACACCACAATTTGTTTGTGAAAATTAATTGATGCCTGGCACGTTTTGGCAGAATTGTGGAATTTTTCCCCTTTAAATTAAAAATGTTAAAACAAAGACAACATTTTTTATGTGAAAAAGACACGTAAAACAGGTCTTTGATTGTTAAGAGAGAAAAATTACTAGAAGTAATCTTCGAAAAGTTCTGTTTTATATTCTCTTTTGCGCAGATACCTTAGGTAGCACTTTGGACAAATATTAACATCTTCATTTGAGCAATCTATACCACTTTTAGTTAGTATATCTGTTTTTTTACATTTCTTGTACCTTTACATTTACGAGAATTCTCGAAGATAAGATGACAACTTTCACCAATACGTCTACTCTTCATTATAAGATGGATATTAACAAATAAGTGTGAAATATTCCATAAAAGCAATGTAAAAACAAAACTGATGATAAAATATATAAAAAATGGTAACAAAATGAACAAGAACAAATTCTAAATAACGACAAGGATATTGATCTCAAAATTGATTGTTGTCAATCACACCAAGTGATGAAACAAATCTGAGTTTGGATTTTTTTGTGACCTAACATGCATTGAAAGGTTTATTGTAGGCTTGCAACGAATTTCATTACCAATTACCTGTAATCAGGTGCATTGCTTTTTGATGGACGCCAGGGAGATGTCTTAGGCCCTCACCTTTTTGGCTACACAGGATATTTTGTTGTGCGAAATAAATAATTTCTACCAGGTTTTTTCGACCGAATTTTTGCATACATATTTGAAATAATAACACCAATTCTTCATACTATGAAAATTGTTTGTATACAAGAATAATCAGAATAAAAAATTCTGTATTGTGCATTAAAATTTTCACAAAATGTTCGATTATCCTCACATTCTGGATGATAAATATATTATTTTAGCATCACATGAAAGATAATGTGTGTACCCAAGCATGATGCAAAATTGTTTTTTCAGAAAAAAACATTTCATGCCGATGTTCCATTTTTCGACCCCCATGCTGTAATTAGGTTAATTAACCATCTAAATAATTAGTAGAGTGATTCAAAGTAATAACATCGGATGTATAAGGGATTGAAAAAAGTTAATACAGCAGCATAAATCTTGCAGCATTACTGAAACGGAAGTTATGAGGGGGAAGGCTCCTATGTATAGTAGATTTAAGAAGGCTGAAAATAGTCCCTTTCATTGCTTAAAACCCATATCTTAATAGTGGACAATAGGCTTTGAGCGTGCATGTTCTGTTTTTTGCCCAATAAACATCGGAACCTCATCCAAATTCTCACCGTGTATTGATAATTTGAATTAGTATGTCTTTTTACACTTTCATCAGACGAATTAGCATTGACTAATAAGGAAACGTGCGTGCATGAACAGATGTAGGTCACATCGACTGTAATTCCCCAAATGACAGTTTTCCTATGCAGTCTCAATTATACGTACATGTACATGTTCCTATATACGTTGTATGCGATGAAATTAATTGAGTTAAGTTCATAAGTTGGTTGGTAGAAACATAATAGGTAACTTCTCTTTGTGCATTATGGCAGCATAAACAATCTCGGATCCGAAAATGTTGGAAAAATATTAGACTCCCCGACAATCGGTCTGTGTTAATTATTGTTTGTCAAATTTTTCTCATCAGCGTTATACCTTCTACCAATATACACATACAGATTATCTCAGATTTAGAATACGAAGGAAAAATCCTCAGTTCTCATATTTAAATGAAGTCGATATATGTACACGTACGTGGTACTGACAACATAACACCCTATACATACATCTCTTGTGAAATGGTCCACAGAGACCTTGGCTTTTGGGTAGTATGTTGCAACGCTTAACCCTTGTTCCTTTAGTGGTAGTACACTCAACATTTGCTTAAGAAAAATTCCGACCATGTTGTTTCAGAATCGGGGCTTGGCCAGTGTATGGCCCCTTTAACCGAGTTAGAACTCTGATTTAGTGTGAGTCAAGACTCTAGTTGGACAAGATGGTCCCTACTGTGAGTTAGAACTCTAGATCTAGATGGGCAGAATGATCCCTACTGTGAGTTAGGACTCTAGATGGGCAGGTTGGCCCCTACTGTGAGTTAGGACTCTAGATGGGCAGGATGGTCCCTACTGTGAGTCAGGACTCTAGTTGGACAAGTTGGTCACTACTGTGAGTTAAGACTCAAGTGGAACAAGATGGTCCCTACTGTGAGTCAGGATTCTAGTGGGACAGGATTGTCCCAACTGTGAGTCAGGACTCAAGTGGGACTAGATGGTCCCTATTGGGAGTCAGGACTCTAGTGGGACAGGATGGTCCCTACTGTGATTTAGGACTCTAGCGGGACAGGATGGTCCCTACTGGGAGTTTGGTCTCTAAATGGGCAGGATGGTCCGTACTGTGAGTCAGGAGTCTAGATGGGCAGGATTGTCCCTACTGTGATTTAGGATTCTAGATGGGCAGGACGGTCCCTACTGTGAGTTAGGACTCTAGATGGGCAGGATGGTCCCTACTGTGAGTTTGGACTCTAAATGGGCAGGATGGTCCTTACTGTGATTTAGGACTCTAGCGGGACAAGATGGTACCTACTGTAGAGTTAGGACTCTAGCGGGACAGGATGGTCACTTCTGTGAGTCAGGACTCTAGTGGGACAGGATGGTCCCTACTGTGAGTCAGGACTCAAGTGGGACTAGATGGTCCCTATTGTGAGTCAGGACTCTAGTGGGACAGGATGGTCACTACTGTGAGTCAGGACTCTAGTGGGACAGGATGGTCATTACTGTGGGCAAGTACTCTAGTGGGACTAGATGGTCCCTATTGTGAGTCAGGACTCTAGTGGGACAAGATGGTCCCTACTGTGAGTTAGGACTCTAGTGGGACAAGATGGTCCCTACTGTGAGTCAGGACTCTAGATGGGCAGGATGGTCCCTACTGTGAGTCAGGACTCAAGTGGGACTAGATTATCACTACTGTGAGTCATGCATATTGTATTAGAGGTAACTGGGTATACATATACTGCCAAACTGGATATTAAGATAAAAAAAGAGCAACAGGGTATGTGAGGTAATCACAGTATCTGCGAACAAGAGGGTATCTAAGATAAATGGGTTACATGTAACTGAAATATGAAGTTCCCAAAATAACAAAGTTTCACTGCAATCTGCACATGAATTTCCTCTGAATCAGTAAGCCAGAACACAAAACATCACATGTGACTTTGTCAATATTTAATATATAACAACACAACATTGTACAATAACTTAACACAAGTTTTGGAATGTGGACGGGTACATGTATAATCCATCAGGGAATGACAATTATTTTAAAAACATTTCATACTTATCAAAAATAAATTCACCAATTTTTTTCATTTGTTATACAAATGTCTTCAGCATTCAATTCAATATAAGATGGTTTCCTGAGAAAAAAAATCTACAAGACAAATATTTTTGATATGGACGGATAGCTTCATACATAGAAACACTAGTACTACTGATACTTGGTAGAGAGTCTCTCAATAAATAAAATCAACACATTTTTAAGTGACAGATTAAAAAATCAAGTTTGAATGTGAACACAATGTAAAGTACTGAATGAGATAGATGATTTTACGTGTCCTTGGGTGTACATGGTACACCCTTGTTTGGTGAAAACTTTGTTCTGATATACACATGTATGTGACGAATCAACATGTGAGCTCCTGTTAGAACTGTCAAGGATATAAAATCTCCAGTACATTGTAATTGGTGGTAAAAAATCCTGAATACTGGAGAAGGAAGAAAATAGCAACCTCACCAGTAGAAAACTGTCTGGGTCAAAGGATTCTGATGCACTTATTATACATATTTGATGTAAATCTTTCACAGGTGTCAAATTCACATCTAAGATGTAAAATTTTCTATTTCACAAACAAATTGGATACATGTCATCCTGTGCATCCTCTGGTAAACGCATTGAAAGTGATGGTTTTATAAACTGTATCCTCTAGACAAGGATCAAAAGTTCATGAAGTCCAGGTCCCTCTTCATTCTGAGCGTGATCGACAGTTCACCCTTATCTCCGTCCCACTTTGCATTGCCCGACTCGTGGTCCACTGGGTGGGGCAGATGGAGTCCCAGCTTCCTGTCAACAGGAACAATGATGTACAAGTACTTTTTTCATATTCAAAATATTTTATTGATAAGACATCTACATGTTTCAATTTCAACAAACCAGATAATACATTATTTTCAATTACAGACTTTTGTGAAAGTGATTGTATGGACATGTGTCTATACATGTGCTATAGATACAAAATGATGATATTTTTTATCCTTAAACAAGATGAAATGTAAGAAAACCTTGAAAAGAAAAATACTGCATTTTAGCAGCGTTCGTCGTGACACTATAATTAAAATATGTTATCAAAATAATATTGACCTGTTGTTTCTAAAAATAGTAACACTGAGTTAATATCACTTGTCACTGACCTCCATGTGGTTATGATCTAAATATAACCGATGAGGAACTAAGAAAAGAATTGTGTCATCTAATGAAACATTTTTGTACATGAATGCGTCCTTAAAAGTAACTGTCTAATGCTACAAACATAAACATACCCAGTACATGTATGTATATATATATTGGCCACATATATCTAGAAACTTACAGTTTAGGGGTTCTACAGTCCAGGAACTTTGATTTTACATCCAGTGTCATGTCAGATATCTTTGTGTCGGGTAACTTGATCTTTACCTGGAGGGAAAAACATTTTTAACAAGTTATGGAGAGAATTCAAATGATTTACAATTGTATGTGTAAAAACAAAATACAGAAAAAAATATCGAACTTTCATAAAATATAACATTACACAAACCTAATGTCTGGTACTTATTTTTACACTAACAAATAGAACATAATTTAAAGCAGCCTCGATAATCAAGGGGTTACACTCACTTTCACTCTCTGCGTCATAGCAAAATTGAAGGCCAGGAGTTAGCTATTTGATTGGTTTCAGGTAAAAACAAGAGTACTGCGGGGCAGAACAACATACGCCCGTCGAATGCCAGATAGTGTTATATACTTTCTAACATTGAAATAAGATCTGCATCATTCTAAGAGTGGTTAGCTGACATGCTATAAAAAAAATGTAGGAGAAAATCTCCGGACAAAAAATCAAATACTGAAATGAACAAAGGGCAATAACGTCGAATTGTCAATCAAAATTCATTTCATGGAAACACAACAAAATATCATGATTATTTCGTCTACTAAGTTTCAAAGAAATCCGTCAAAAAATGGAGGAGTAGATTGCCGGACAAAAAATCAAATACTGAAATGAACAAAGGGCAATAACTTTTGCAAAAATTGTTGAATCAAAATTCTTTTTAAAGAAACACAACAACATATCATGATTATTTAGCCTACTAATCAAATACTGAAATGAACAAAGGGCAATAACTTTTAGAAAAATTGTCGAATCAAAATTCTTTAAGGGAGACACAACTTCATATCATGATCATAATGTATACCAAGTTTCAAAGAGATCGGTTGAAAAATGTAGGAGGACATTGCCGGACAAACAAAAGTTTACGCCGCCGGCCAGACAAACCCATCCCATAATACTCCCATCAAATTTGACGGGCGTATAAAAAGCTGACCAATCGCCAGGTTGGTACCTGTCCTTTGAAGATTACAGAGAAGTGACATCGGACTTCAAAGCCTGGCAATTTTACTGTTACGCGACCAAGAGATTATTTTAACTGTTCTTCTTTTCTTATCTACAAGGTGGGGCACAGTTACTTTTTTATTTTGTTGTGACATCTGCATGCAGAGAGCGAAAGTGAGCATAACGTTACGCCTGGAGTGTCGAGGATGAATTGCAATATTATGAAATATAGTGGTCACTGGTCAGTTGACTTACCACCATGTCCTCACAGCTAGATGTAGCCGGGTTCTTATTTCCCATTTGTAGGAACATATCCTCAGATGTCACTGCCTGCTTGTACAGGATGTCATATCTACAATGTAAACAAATCCCTTGTACAGGATGTCATATCTACAATGTAAACAAATCACTTGTACAGGATGTCGTATCTACAATGTAAACAAATCACTTGTACAGGATGCTGTATCTACAATGTAAACATATCACTTGTACAGGATGTCATATCTACAATGTAAACAAATCACTTGTACAGGATGTCATATCTACAATGTAAACAAATCACTTGTACAGGATGTCGTATCTACAATGTAAACAAATCCCTTGTACAGGATGTCATATCTACAAAGTAAACAAATCACTTGTACAGGATGTCAATCTAAAATGTAAACAAATCACTTGTACAGGATGTCGTATCTACAATGTAAACAAATCACTTGTACAGGACGTCGTATCTAAAATGTAAACAAATCACTTGTACAGGATGTCGTATCTACAATGTAAACAAATCGTTTGTAAAGGATTTCAGATCAAAGATTTAGAATTCAAAATGGTACTAATTACACAAATATGTGAAATTTGTAGGCAGAACTGATTATCAGTACCCTGATTCTGCTACTTGAATAAAATTAGAATGATCAATCTTCTGCATATCATCCAATGAATATAAGGAACAGACTGCAGGCAATGTAATTTCACATCACTGGGGCTACTTCCAGGATGTAACATTATACACCTGGTACGGTAATGTTAGCCAGGATCACCTGAATGTGATATACAGGAGGGTATCAATGCTAACCGAGTACTACCACAGACCAGATCTGGAGTACCTACTCTGGTTGTGGTCGAGGGTCGTATAATGATTCGTATTCCGCCCCTTCCCCAACCTCGTCTTCAGTCCAGATGTCCTTAGTCTGCTTCTTAGTATCTGCAAAGGAACAATATCATCTGTATATTTTCACAATTAACATTTGTGTTAAAAAAAAAATGATATATAATAACAATATTTTAAAACAGTTTGTACTTTTTTTCTTACAAACTATTTTCTCTCATGACTACTCCATAATTTTTTTGTGTGTTTAGGTATTTTTGTTAACATGATTTTATGAAATTAAAAAATAGAAGATTTAAACATATACTGTAAACTTGATTATTTACGATGGGTGAAAATTACGCGATTTGAAGGTCAAAACTATACGTGCGGGGGTAATTTATGAGGTTGTGGTAGACCGACGTTTCCTCTGCAGAGTTATCTCCCTTACTTTACAAAAATGTGTACTGGTAAAAATACGGGTTGCTACTGAGTACATGTTCTGTTTGATTACCAACTGGTCAATTGACAGATGAAAAGAAAGGTGAAATGTATTCATGTGTATGTCTTATTTTTTGTGTGCACTAGAAAACATTGGAATTTTGTCAGTAGAGGAAGCATGTCAATCCTAAAATACCTAACAAAAATGCTGACAAAGCATGTGGGATTGCCAGATCCAAAACAAGCAGCCACACCAGAAAAGACACAGATAGTTAAATGAAATTGTAGAGAAAGAAAGAGGGGAGTCTATGTGCAATATACCATGAAACAGAAGGTAAAGATTGCAAAGTACGCAATCTTCAATGGACCTGTAAAGGCAGGGAGAGATTTTACGAAAATACTCTGGGACTTAGTGAATACAATGCTGGACAGTGAATTAGACAAAACAGTATGTGAATACATCAGAGATTTGAGAGATGACAGTGGTGTAACTAACACCAACATTGTTCAAGGAATCGGCTGCGGTGTGGTGTTAAAAGTAGACAAAAGTCTCTTAGAAAAATGTGTGCCTTTTGTCTGTGTAATATATAATATATACGATTTAGTTTACCTACAAACATGGCATTTTTTATCAAAGAATATATATACCTGTAACTAAGTAGAGATATCACTTTACTTGGTCTCACCAAGGGAGAATACTGACCCTGTTTTGGCTCATCACTACTGCCTTCCTTCTTTGTTGGTCCAATTTCTCCTGGACCCATCTTAGCAAACTGTGTTTTAGGCTGGAAATTGAGAGTATTGAGTTAGTGTAAGAAGTTTCTAGATTGATAGAAGAGGAGAAAATCACAACATTATAATATGATCTGTGTGGCATATAGATACAATCAAATATTAACAATGTTACAATAATGTTCAACAATATTCACAATAAACAAAGTACTTGCATGTGTTTTGAACTGACAATCTTTATTATAATTATGCCGCAACATTTCATCAGTGTTTTAAAGTTGAATTATAAATGACATCATTATGATGAATTTCAAGAAAAATAAAAATCCCCTCTACAAACAGGAGAATACAATAAAACAAATCCAACACCTTCAGATAGCAGAACATTTTCACACACCTGTACAAATAATCTTAGTTCAGTATATAGATCAATCAAGGCTGTTACTGTTCCATCATACAAAGTTGTCTTAAAAAATGTGCAAAATAATGTGATACATGTATTATCAGAGGATATCATCTGCAGACTGATCTCTGTGACTTTAATAGAGTAAAAGGTATAAATATGGCATAATACACACCATTTCATCATCCAGATCAATGTCTGAATCTGCAGTTTCAGGAGGTTTCAGTATCTCAGCTAAAGCTGACACCATACTCCCTGAGAAAGCCATCCTGACAAATACTCTTTTTTCTTGACTTGACTGATGGGGTCACAGGCCAACTTCTTCAGATCATTCAAGTGGAGTTTATCGATGTGTATCAGAATGAGAAGGCATCTGAAAAGCAAAATGAGTCAATATGGTTAACATTTTATTTTATTTTTGAGATCATGGTTAAAAGCATGTCTTACATGTACAGCAGTCAGGGTTTTTAGGGCACCTATATATATATATATATATATATTATATAAGCAGAACAATTACCCTTATAGATGAAGAAATATTATAAAAAGAAAAATCCTCAACAACGAGTCTTTAGTACTTTCATCTCTTCTAGGAGATTCTTCCGACTCTTTATATATAAATATATATATATATATAAAGCACTTGTAATTTAATCAATCAAGTAACATCTGGAGCATTTTCAAATTTTGTGTTTACACATTTGTAGTGGTCTTATGGCTTCTGGAAGACCCAAATTTCAAAACTATGTCTCAGTCTGCTCAGATAAATGGTAAAATCTATCACTCAAATATAGCGATCATGTGTTTTCTAAAACTCATTTTTATAGTATGATTCAGCACAGTTTTTGATATTTAACACTTTTACATCACTTAGTTCTTATGTTGCACAAATATCACTTTGGGGGCATTGTAAATGAAACTAACCATGACATGCTGAAAATATACCATTTATAGTAAGTCTCAATAAAATGTCAGTATTTTTGTGTTCAGCAACAAAATGTAAACATTTGTAGAAAATAATGTTAATGCCCATGGCCAGAATACTATGATGCACTGAAATAACAATATGGCTGTACATTTATCGTAATCTGGAATTGTAACTTGTCATAGGTTGTACCAATTAATGTTTTCTCTTGCTTATATACCTTCAATTTAAGGCTTAGGGACTCAGGAGAATTTTATGAATATATTGGAGATTGGGAAGGCTGGCTTTTAGTAACATGTATATATACATTTAGGAGCTCTGTTATTATACACTAAATCTTGATTTTCGCAATATCAATTTTGTCTAAGTCTATTAGACTGCGGTTCGGAATGGGGACCCTCTGAACTCTAGACGGACGCTCTACCAATTGAGCTACCTGGTGCCGATGATTGACCTAGTCTAGTTCTGCTACATTCCTGCCGGAGCTGAGAGTAGGCAGGGTATGAATATTCGTTCTAGGTGGCTACATCAGACAAAAGTTTTGTACTAGTAAAACATTCTTCATCATATACACCTCTGATCAGTTATGAATTCCATCTTAACATCACACACAAGCCTATATATATGGGCCTAGTGTATACAGAAATAATGTAGGGAGATATAGTTTATATTATTCCTCTACATGTAAGTGAATGCTGTTTTCGTGGCAGATAAAACCCACAGGCACAGGTACAAGTAATTCCTGTAGGAACTCTATCTAAATCATAGATTTATAACGATCTATCGTTATAAATCTCTGATTTAGATCGAGTTCCAACAGGAATTAAGGTACAGGGGAAAACCATCGTGCCATAAGCAAAAAAAGCACGCTTTAGCTTTACTCGTGCATATTTTTACCCGTCCACTACGTATACTGGAACTTCCGTAATCGTCGATATTGACGGAGGAAGGTATAAAGATGAAGATACCTGTACCGGTCCTACAAAACCAGAAAACTGGTACACAGGATCGACCGGGTTACTATTTCTGTTGGACTACGACGTGTTGTGATGAGAAAGAATCGTATTTCCTGATTCAACAAATATGATTCATTGGAGTTTCATCCATAGATTCTTATCACAGAAATATTTACTTACAACACTTGTAACCGTCTAGATTATTCTTGCAAGATTTGTTTGGATGTTGACAGGTTTTCACATGTCGATGTAAACTTCCGGTGGCCCATGCGCACTAATAGTATTAAAGTGGACTGTACGTTAAAAAACTGTAAAGTTGATCAGGTTAAAGATTCGTGTTCTCTGCTTTGACTTAACAAGAAAACCGCAGCAAAAAGACCATCTAATCTTAATCAATTTAAAATAGACATAAATGTACATATTGAACTAAAAATGTTCCCCTAGGGCTTTCTGGGTAATCCTGGTTTTAAGGGCAACATATATTTTAGTTATTTAATTTTTCGTACGAATAACCTACCTATATATACCTACCATGTAATTTATAAAATTGTGATAACTACTTTTTTAGAGACTTATATAATTTTACATTACTATGTTTTATAATGTAATCAGCCATATCAATTATAAGTGCCAAAACATGTATTGGGTACTGTATGAAATTGTTATGATGTACCTTTTAACAAATATACTTGAATTGAATTAAAACGTCTTACCACATGCATGTACAATGTAGCAACGTCACAAGTATCGGACCACGCTAGCGCCATTTTCGCAACGTTAACGTATATGTTCGTACACGTAAATGTAGGCAGTGAACACACACAAAAAAATGCCTGAAACTACATGTATATGCGTTTCTGGTTTAGGATAAGAAATGGAACACCAAACCATCGTTTTATTGATTGAATCATCCATCTGTCAAAATGTCTGGTGTCAGGCCAGAGGAAACTCGGGCTAATAATTTAGATGGTATACCAGGGACAATATACGTAGATATTTAATGTTATTGGCTTATATGTTTCTGTTTCAAAAGAAGAATATCGACGGGTGTTTTTCGAACGAAAAAATGTTACAGAACACAGTCGTTAAGATGTAAAAAAAATATTCTTCCGCCGGTTTTTGCAAATGCCAGTACCAATCCTCTTTCTTTCAAGTCCTATTACAATTTGTCACTTTTAGGACTTGGTTCTATTAACAGAACGTAATATCCTATCAGTGTCCTGAACTGGTGTAAAATGCTGTAAATATAGTGAAACGCACACTTTTGTCATCGTCGGATAAATAAATGATCAATATAAACAGGAAATTAAAAAAAAATCCAATCTCAAATTGTCTCCATATACAATTTATAATTGGCAGATTATTATTATTTTAGTAAAAAAATAATTAAAACAACCATAAAAACACTGTACTTCTTAATGCCAAATTCCACCAGTTTCCCGTTTAGGGTACGGTTCAGTTTTGGGCTCACAGACATGCTCCCTGTCGTCATATGACCTATACAAACATATAACAAACGATGAATTGAAAACACCAAACAATAATAAAATTTACATATTTACGACATAGTGTTTCCTTCATCTCAAACAACGAGAGGTACAAAATGTAAATGTTAGGGAAGAATGCTCGTATCTTTGAGCACGTTTACAGGTATGGCCGCACGAGCTAGCTAGGGAAAAGGTACTTTTAAGGTTATCAATAAGGTGACTGACCCCTGTGCTACAATAGTTATTAAGTTATTGTGTTCATATAGCTATATATAGACCAATGTACAGTACATGATTCCGGTGAATCTTTGTCTGATACCCAGGTAATTTAGTCGATTGTATTGTATTGTATTGTTTATTCAACTTGAAGCCTTACGGCTCATAAGCATACACAGCAACGTATAATTGATACATCAGTGATATAAAATACCAAATAATTATAACATCATGAATGAAGCATAATATTGTACATCGCATAGATATATATAGTGCCTATAAATGGACAGTATACTTCTGTAAATTATTAGAAAGTACAAGATAAATAAATTATCGGAAGATGGACAGCTCTTGTAAAATTACCTCACCTAAGTGTACCGTGGCTATCGGAAAACAGATAAGGAGACAACATTTTCTTAGCATAATAACAACCGGGGCTCAATAGAGAATATGTTAATTACAAAAACAAAAAAACAGGCATACAATTTGTATACAGTGGTGTAGTGATCAGGGGATGGACAAAATAGCAGTTGTGTATAAGGTCACGTCCCGCCGTCGGTATATTTTATTACATACAATATAGAAGATATAAGAATTCTTATTTAACGTCGCATATTTAAAACAATAAATATTAGCACTGTAGTGCTAGTTTTAAGACAAATTATGGATACAAGTAAGAAATGATAAGGATAAACAGCATGTAGGCAATTTTAAAGCTAGTTAGTGTAAGAAATAGCAAGCAAATATCGCAGGATAGTTTAACAGGTAAAAACAATAAAGGTACAAAACCAAAGCAGCACATAAGCACGGACTTAGATAACAATCTAATTCCGTGATATAAGTAATCACAAACAGGTATATATGTTACACAAGTATTACTAGCTGAGGGTTGTCCATACATATCTAGCTGAGGGTTGTCCATACATATATATATGTATAGATATATAATTAGTAACATCAAAACCCTTTGAATTTAAACGTAATGTGGATTAAGGGTTACGACCTCATGCGTTTTCTGGAAAGTATTTTCTATTTCATGTAGTATCAGTTGATGATTCTAAAGATGACATGAAAACAGACATTCTTGATATATATATATATGCTGAGTCAAAGCAGGCATGCTTCACATACATATATCTATATCACAAGTAACAAAAAGTAAGTACGGGAGTTATAAATCGTCATCACGCGTGATTCTGGAAAATCGCCGAAGGTGCCGAGCGCCAGAATATACTAGAACGTGAGCGATGGACCTACATAGTTTGTGTGTGTGTGCGTAGGTGCCCAGAGATGTATATAGCTTCCGGGACCATTTCATTACAATCAGCATTCTTCTAGGCGGCCAACATACACCGACTCACATACAGAGACAGACGGACTAGTGTACAGCTCAGCACGAACTTATACTTTCGAGTTTTCGTAAGGCAAAATGTCTGCCCCGGCGATAGGGATCGATTTGGGTACCACATATTCATGTGTGGCGGTTTTTCAACACGGGAAGGTTGAGATTATCGCTAACGAACAAGGGAACCGGACAACTCCCAGCTATGTGGCCTTTACTGACACCGAGCGACTTATTGGGGATGCCGCGAAAAACCAGGTAGCCATGAACCCCAGTAACTCGGTTTTTGACGCCAAGAGACTCATAGGTAGGAAGTTTGACGACGCCTCCGTTCAATCAGACATGAAAAACTGGTCATTTAAGGTTATCAACAAGGGCGGTACACCTTTAATCCAAGTACAATTTAAAAATGAAACCAAGGTGTTCAGCGCGGAGGAAATAAGTTCAATGGTGTTGACGAAAATGAAGGAAACAGCGGAAGCATATCTTGGTAAAAAAGTGAAGGACGCCGTCGTTACCGTTCCCGCGTATTTCAATGACTCTCAGCGTCAGGCGACAAAGGACGCTGGCGCCATCACTGGACTTAACGTGCTTCGTATTATCAACGAACCTACGGCCGCAGCCCTGGCATACGGCCTTGATAAAAACCTCAGCGGCGAGAAAAATGTCCTTATTTACGATCTTGGTGGTGGTACATTCGATGTATCGATTCTTACCATCGACGAGGGTTCCATGTTTGAAGTACGTTCGACAGCCGGAGACACCCATCTTGGTGGTGAAGACTTTGACAACAGGTTGGTAACTTTCTTCATTAACGAGTTCAAGCGCAAACACAACAAGGATATGAGCAGGAACCCTCGCGCCATCCGTCGGCTGAGGACGGCCTGCGAGAGAGCAAAGCGTACGCTATCTAGCAGTTCAGAGGCAAGTGTAGAAATCGATTCGTTGTTCGAAGGGATTGACTTTTACACTAAAATTTCCCGTGCGAGATTTGAGGAGCTTTGCTCGGACTTATTCAGAACCACCATCGATCCTGTGGAACGAGCGCTGACCGATGCCAAACTCGACAAGACTAAAATCCACGATATCGTTCTTGTAGGTGGTTCAACTCGTATCCCTAAGATTCAAAAGCTGCTGCAAGATTTCATGAACGGCAAAGAACTGAATAAATCTATAAACCCAGACGAAGCGGTGGCGTACGGGGCGGCCGTCCAGGCGGCTGTGCTCTCCGGCGATACCAGCAGCGCCATCAAGGACGTGCTCTTGGTGGACGTTGCACCCTTGTCCCTCGGTATCGAGACAGCTGGTGGCGTTATGACAAACCTTATCGAGCGAAACAGTCGAATCCCGTGTAAAACGTCGAAAACGTTTACGACGTACGCGGACAACCAGCCAGGGGTCCATATACAGGTGTACGAGGGCGAGAGAGCTATGACCAAGGATAACAACCTCCTCGGAAAGTTTGATCTTAACGGCATCCCTCCCGCCCCCCGTGGTGTGCCTCAGATTGACGTCACCTTTGACATTGACGCGAACGGCATTCTAAACGTGTCAGCTGAGGATAAGAGCACCGGAAAATCGAACAAAATCACCATCACGAACGACAAAGGACGACTTAGTAAGTCAGAAATTGACCGAATGGTGTCTGAAGCTGAAACATATCGCGAGGCGGACGAGAAACAGAGACAGTCAGTTTCTTCTAGGAACGCTCTCGAGAACTATGTATTCAGTGTGAGGATGGCAATTAATGAAACAGCGGGTGACAAACTGACACAGGAGGAGAAAACATCAGCCCTCACTAAGTGTGAGGAAACTCTTAAGTGGTTAGAGGCTAATATGTTGGCAGACAAGGAGGAGTACGACTTCAAAATGAAGGATGTTCAAAGTGTGTGCTCTCCAATGATGGCCAAACTTCACGGCGGAGGTCAAAACCAAGGTAAAGGTCAAGGTCAATCCGATGGTGGTAGAAGTGGTGGTCCAACTGTGGAAGAAATGGACTAAATGAAATAAACTATTTTAAAAAGTTAAGTATGGTATAAAGGTATTTTTGTATCGTATTTTGCTTCGCTAGTAATTAATAATTTACAAATACTGTTTGTATATGAATACTTATCACAATATTTTTGTAACAGTATCTTCTATCAAAGATTGTACATCTGTTTGTTATGTTATGCATGCATTCACGTTAACCAAAGCTTTCTCAATTTGTGACAGTTATTAAGGCCAATTGATAATTTACATGCTCAGCAAATTGTATTAATGTTGTCAATAAAATATTGTTAAAACACTTTTCAGTAATGCAGATTTGTGTATGGCGGGTTCTCACTTAGTGATACGTGTAATTGTTTACCTATCTCTATCTAACCACAAGGAATTTAATGGTATCAAGGAATTTAATGAATTTAATGGCATCAAGGAATTTAATGGTATCTGATGAAGATTATTTTGAATCCCGTGATGTACATCTTTGGATGAAATGTCAATAAATGTAAAATGAAATTAACCAAAAGCATGGAACCTGTATAGAGAAACTTTTGCAGTAACTAACAAATTCGAAAATTAAAACAGCCTTGTTGTTAGTTTGAAATAATTTTGTATACAATTGTTGTTATGTTAGGAAAAGACAAACAACGACTTCGAGGCAAACATTCACGTCACAAGGTCATGACCTCTGTAGGTGTATTCCCGACACATATAACAAGCCTTACACAAGTTTGTAAATTATCGTGATTTATCTCCGAGACTTCCTGTAGATGTATAGATATCGCTTTGAGGGACACCTACAACATACCTTCACCATATAGGTGTACACGGCAACGTCAGCATCAGTACAGCGTTGCATGTATATAGCTACACGATCCACTACAGTGGAACACATATAAAACACTACCGAGAAACCTCATTATCCCGGATTTCGACAATCCAGCACTTCGCTGTAGCAGATGCTATTGCAGTCTTATTTTGATTTTTTTTTCTATTTGGAAAAAAATTGTTCTCAGTACGGAAATTATCAGATTCCGAGTTAACGGACATCCGGATTGACTCCAATAGACTAATTGGATTGTTTCTAAGTGCTAAATAAGTATCACATACATTATATGAACTAAGACATTTGTACCAGCCTTGCAATGGGTTCTCTTAATCCAGATTTAATCCTACCATTGCTGCATGTATAAAACTCGTTAATCCGTTTCCAGACATAAAGAAAGTTTCTGGAGGCTAATGTTTAATGCGAATAACCTATACTACAATGTTAGTTTTACCCGAACTCCATATAATTAAATTGACCCGATTAATTAGTAGAAATAACATCTAAACAGATTAATGACATTCTACTAGGATATCTATACAAACTAATGAATCTCATCTCTCTGTTTAGATATCCTAGTAGAATCACATCTCTCTGTTTAGATATCCTAGTAGAATCACAATAGTCTGTTAAGATATCAAAGTAGTTTATATATCGTTGTAGAATCACAAAAGTATGTTTAGATATCCTAGTAGAATCTCATCTCTCTGTTTAGATATCTAAGTAGAATCACAAAAGTCTGTTTATATATCCTATTAGAATAACAAAAGTCTGTTTATATATCCTATTAGAATAACAATAGTCTGTTTAGATATCCTAGTAGAATGACAGGATATCTAAATAGACTAATGTGATTCTACTAGGATATCTAAACTGACTTATGTGATTCTACTAGGATATCTAAACTGACTAATGGGATTCAAATAGGATATCTAAACACACTATTGTGATTCTACTAGGATATCTAAACAGAGAGATGTGATTCTGCTAGGATATATAAACAGACTTTTGTGATTCTACTAGGATATCTAAACAGAGAGATGAGATTCTACAAGGATATCTAAACAAACTTATTTGATTCTACAAGGATATCTAAACTACTAGGATATCTTAACAGACTAATGTGATTCTACTAGGATATATAAACAGACTTTTGTTATTCTACTTAAATATCTAAACAGAGAGATGTGATTCTACTAGGATATATAAACAGACTTTTGTTATTCTACTTAAATATCTAAACAGAGAGATGTGATTCTGCTAGGATATATAAACAGACTTTTGTGATTCTACTAGGATATATAAACAGAGAGATGTGATTCTGCTAGGATATATAAACAGACTTTTGTGATTCTACTAGGATATCTAAACAGAGAGATGTGATTCTGCTAGGATATATAAACAGACTTTTGTGATTCTACTAGGATATATAAACAGAGAGATGTGATTCTGCTAGGATATATAAACAGACTTTTGTGATTCTACTAGGATATCTAAACAGAGAGATGTGATTCTGCTAGGATATATAAACAGACTTTTGTGATTCTACTAGGATATCTAAACAGAGAGATGTGATTCTGCTAGGATATATAAACAGACTTTTGTGATTCTACTAGGATATCTAAACAGAGAGATGTGATTCTGCTAGGATATATAAACAGACTTTTGTGATTCTGCTAGGATATATAAACAGACTAATGTGATTCTACTAGGATATCTAAACAGAGAGATGTGATTCTGCTAGGATATATAAACAGACTATTGTGATTCTGCTAGGATATATAAACAGACTTTTGAGATTCTGCTAGGATATATAAACAGACTAATGTGATTCTACTAGGATATCTAAGCAGAGAGATGTGATTCTGCTAGGATATATAAACAGACTATTGTGATTCTGCTAGGATATATAAACAGTCTTTTGAGATTCTACTAGGATATATAAACATACCTTTGTGGTTCTACAAGGATATCTAAACAGACTAATGTGATTCTACTTAGATATCTAAACAGACTAATGGGATTCTACTTAGATATCTAAACAGACTAATGGGATTCTACTAAGATATCTAAACAGACCAATGTGATTATACTAAGATATCTAAACAGACCAATGCCATTCTAACAGGATATATAAACAGACTTTTGTGATTCTACTAGGATATCTTAACAGAGAGATGAGATTCTACTAGGATATATAAACAGACTTTTGTGGTTCTACAATGATATCTAAACTACTAGGATATATAAACAGACTTTTGTGATTCTACTAGGATATCTTAACAGACTAATGTGATTCTACTAGGATATCTAAACAGAGAGATGTGATTCTGCTAGGATATATAAACAGACTTTTGTGATTCTACTAGGATATCTAAACAGAGAGATGTGATTCTGCTAGGATATATAAACAGACTTTTGTGATTCTACTAGGATATATAAACAGACAGATGTGATTCTGCTAGGATATATAAACAGACTTTTGAGATTCTACTAGGATATATAAACATACCTTTGTGGTTCTACAAGGATATCTAAACAGACTAATGTGATTCTACTTAGATATCTAAACAGACTAATGGGATTCTACTTAGATATCTAAACAGACTAATGGGATTCTACTAAGATATCTAAACAGACCAATGTGATTCTCAAGGTTATCTTAACTACTAAGATATCTAAACAGACTAATAGGATTCTACTAAGATATTTAAACAGATTAATGGGATTCTACTAAGATATCTAAACAGACCAATGTGATTATACTAAGATATCTAAACAGACCAATGCCATTCTTACAGGATATATAAACAGACTTTTGTGATTCTACTAGGATATCTAAACAGACTTGTAATTCTACTAGGATATCTAAACAGAGAGATGTGATTCTGCTAGGATATATAAACAGAATTTTATGATTCTACTTAGATATCTAAACTACTATGATATCTTAACAGACTATTGTGATTCTACTAGGATATCTAACCAGGCTAATGTGATTCTACTAGGATATCTAAACAAACTAATAGGATTCTACTCAGATATCTATACAGACTAATGTGATTCTACTTAGATATCTAAACAGATTTATGTGATTCTACTGGGATATCTAAACATACTTTTGTGATTCTACTAGGATATCTAAACAGACAAATGCCATTTTATTAGGATATCTAAACAGTTTATGTGATACTACAAGGATATCTAAACAGACTATTGTAATTCTACTAGGATATCTAAACAGACTATTGTAATTCTACTAGGATATCTAACCAGGCTTATTTGATTCTACTAGGATATTTAAACAGACCCATTGTGATTCTACTAAGATATTTAAACAGACTAATGTGAACCTTATATGATATTAAAACAGAACAATAGGATTATCCTACATAGATTGTATCTGATTTATTTCTTGACACATTGAGAATAGTTTACTTAACACAATGATGTCGCTATCAAATCATGTTTAAAGTAGTGCGTTATTCCCCCGCCGTACCAACGCTTTATTTCTGGAACGTTCTGCAAGTGAATGTTTACGTATAGCTTTAAAAACTCGTTTAAGACACTGTTGTGTGCATTTCTGATACATTCTTAAATTATGTCCGCCCGGCGTAGTGCCAAGGAATGAATGTTTTTTAAAAGATAAAGTTGGGCAGCGTCCAATTAGTGTAGGGCTTAGAGAATGTGACGAGATGGAATACGATACATACCACTCATACGTTTTGGTGATTCAGCTCTGGATCTCATAATGTGAATAGCCCGTATGATGTTAATAAACGGTTACACTTAATGATCCAAGTCGTGTTTTGAAAACAAGTAGTCACAAGTTATTTTTATTATTTTGAAAGTCTTGTTGCACACAGTCATACAATGTTTGTCATCAGTCGTGTTTCTGTACAAACAATGCATGACGAGGGTTTGTGATCTCTCCCTGAGGTAAAAGTTATTCAAAGATATATCGTTAATTTATTAGAGATATCTTAAAAAGAATTAGAGATATGTTAAAATGAAACAGAAATGGTCTTCAAATGTAATTAAGATACTAAATTTATAAAATAAACAATACTTAAAATGTAATAGAGTTATATCTGGTGTATTTAGGACGTCAGGGTATATCTTAGTTGTTAATATAAGATATTCTATTAATGGAGATATATTAATTAGTTTGCGAGATACTTTTGTATAACAAAAAGTATGAGGTATCTGGTATAATAAGGATTTGAGGACATTTTGTAATGTTTATCAGATATCTTATAAATCAATGGAGATATCACCATCATCAGTCTCAAATAGTATATAAAATACAATTGTATTATCCTAAACGATACAGAATGGGATATCTCATATAATATACACTGTGTATGTTTATTGTTTATATGATAGCTAATAAATTAATGTAGATATCGCAGTTAGTTTATAAGATAAATTTGTATATCCTAAAGCGTACAGAATGAGATACTCTTTCAGGTAGTTGAATGTCTAGTTGGTTTGCTATACAAGAATTATAAGATGTCCGGGATATTATACAATGTATATCATACCAAACGCTTAAATGTGTGTATAATTGGTATTATCTGATAAAAGTGAGAGAGAATATCGAGGGAGTGAGGGGTATCCTGATATGAGCGGTGTGGCAATATGGTCTATGTGGGGTTTTCGCAAAGTCTTCTTTTGAAAAGTGGTGCCCGGCTATGAAAACATTGTCAAAACGGAAGAGTAGGAAACTATAAAAAGATACAGATATTATGTGCTTCAACGGGGGCAGCAGATTGGTTTTGGTTGCTTCAATGTCCTCTATGAAGGAGACAAAGAGGAAAGTCTCCGTTTCTCCAGGGGAGATATTAGTCGCCTCTTCCGACATTTAATGGGATACAGAGGCATATTCTCTCTCTAAACCTGCAGGAGTAATTTTCCTTGTACTTGTTAAATGTATCTACTGTCCATATACAATATAAACAAAGAGAAATTTACGTCGACGTTTTGCGTATTCTTCACAAACATAAATGATCAGAGCGGTATTACAACATTGATCAACGAAGCAACGAATAAATCGATACATCACACAAAAATCTATAGAGATTTCCAGATGACGTACACATTTCTATTTCCGTTGAACTTTGACCGCATACCTTACATAAAACATCTTCAACGGAATGTCAAGACTGTAATGCAATTATCGATACCAGTGGTAAAGCTCGGAGTGGAATCTTAAGCCTGGTAATTAGTCTTCGGTTCGAAAAGGTCAAATTTGAAATCAGTTGAGGAGACTGACCACCAACATGACAAAGGCATCACCAAATTGACATTTAAGTGACCAATGCCGTGACCATGGGCTGGACGTTACTGAAAATGGACAAAATGAAATCACGTTTGACGAAGAAGAGTAAGAGGGATAGTGTCAGCACACAGGAGAAAGGATTCTCGCTACCGAGGCTTAAAACAAGTGACAAGTTCCACGTGGCCTTCACGCGCTCGGACACGGAGTTCTTAACAATAGCAGTCAAGAAAAGAACCTCACAGAAAGTCGGTAGGTCTTTATTGCGGCCATGGTTTGAAACCTGGGTCCGTATTCATGAAACCATTCTCATGCTCAAATTGAGATTTTGTGCTGAAACCCAGTTTCTTGTTCTGGGGCTAAAGTAGTTGATATTCGCATTTTGTCAATGATTTGGAGAGACCTTTTGCTGAACACTATTTTCAATAACTTGGCTTGTTGACAGTGTCATACGATTTTTGCAAGGCACAAAACATTTGGTTCGAGCTTGAGTATGAGAACGGTTTCATAAATACGGAGCTGGAAATATTTGCGTTTACTTGGCATATTTCAGTTTTAGCAGCACTTGGAAGCTTGTTAGGGTCTTCACACATCGCCGTTAATGGTTTGTTACTCTGTCTAATGCAGAAATGGTTGACTATTTGTTACTACAGAAGAAGGCTATATATGTTTATTTTGAAGTAGTATTTATGTCGTATATACGGCATAGTATAACGTCATCATGAAGTAATTACAAGATACATATATGTACATACAAATGTACATGTATACGTAGATAATAGTCAGAGGAAACTCCGACTTATCTTGTAGGATAAGGTGAATCAGTAGAAGCAGACTATGACGTGAATTTTGTTTTATATAAAAAGAAATTGAACGCATGTTATTAAATCGTAAGTTAATTATTGTTGATTAAAATGAATGATCGATTACCAATGATGAGCGAAAATTCAACCAATCACAGTTTCAGTTTGGCAGTCTCGTGGAAACGCCAAAGAGGCAAGGAGACGGAGAAATTACTACACTAAATTATGTCAAAAGGTCAAGGTCATCCCTGTACGTAGGGTCATGGGTCAGATTGGAGGACCTCACATGTCTGTCCGAGATCATTGCCTCGGAGGCAGAGAAATCAGAGCCATCTGTAAAACAATGAGGGTAGGTTACATTTAACCAAGTATTTCGTAAACCCAGACACGCATTCAATAACACTTGTAACTTGAAAACCTTACAGTTTTATCAAAATGGTGTCGTAGAAAAAGTTGATATCTTGGAAATGAAGATTCCGTTTAGCAACAACTCCTTTAATACAGTGATTATTGAGAAAATTATTTTGCTATTATGATTACGAAGATTATAAACAATACACTTCAAATATTAAGTGGGTAAAAAAGAGATTAAAACTTTACACAAATGCATGGTTTAAATGTTGCAATGCATATAATAAAACCTCGTTAAATTACACATTAGAACCTCATAAGCATGTTAAGACAAGGAACTCAATAACTGTTAAATGATCATTCATCTTTACAAAAAACACTTAATGTCCAGATAACCGAGCTTATACACTGTGTTGGCCTTGTCTTAACTCATTCACCCCTGAAATTTCATAATGAACTATTCCAATCTTTGAATTGGAAGAGTTTAAATGTGTCTTCAGGGGTGAATGAGTTAATTACTCTGATTGAAGGGGGATTGGTGTCTCGGTACACTGGACCTGTCCGGAAACATCATGTCCACACGAGAGGGACGCTATGTCCAGGAGGTGCTGATGTCCACTCCTAAACTAACCACACTGGTAAGGATACAAAACCAATCTCTATAGCAAGCCAGCTTAACTTTTAAAGTGACGTCTCATTTACTTCAGGAGATATCGTATAAGAAATTGAGATAACTATATAATTTTAGGAGATATTTTATAAACAAAAGATATCTCATATAAAACTTATTATAAAATGCAAAAACATACCTCTTTATATTCTTCTAGAGATGTCTTTATTTCTTTACGACATATTTCTATTCATTACAAATGTCTTAGATCATTTAAAGAAATCTCTATTACATCTAAAGATGTCTTTAATTCTTGTAGATATATCTCTAATTTATTCAAAGATAAACTCGATTGATTTTAGATGTATCTATTACTTTAAATAAATATAGTTTTGATTTGAAGATATCTTATTTAATACGTACTTGAGATATCTTTACATGTGATAGATATATGTCTAGCTGAAATAAAAAATATCTTTTAAATAAAGATGCTTTTGAATGATAAAAGTCATATCTCTAAAAACAAAAAGATATCACTTTTAAAGTACTTGTATGTTTTCTAAACCAAATACACTGTAGATATCTCTTTTAAACCATGTTTTAAGATAATTGATTCATTTTCAAATGCCTATGTAACCAAATAATGTCGGATATCGTTACTTCATTTAATTGTATCTCTGTTTGGATTAAAAAATATATAATTTCTTTTAGAGATCCCCCTGTTTTAATTTAAGATATCTCTATTACATTAACATATATATCTATTTGAATATTAGAGATATCTCTATTACAGTGTACATTTAAATATATCTCTATTTGAATATTAGAGATATCACTATTACAGTGTACATTTAAATATATCTCTATTTGAATATTAGAGATATCTCTATTACAGTGTACATTTAAATATATCTCTATTTGAATATTAGAGATATCTCTATTACAGTGTACATTTAAATATATCTCTATTTGAATATTAGAGATATCTCTATTACAGTGTACATTTAAATATATCTCTATTTGAATATTAGAGATATCTCTATTACAGTGTACATTTAAATATATCTCTATTTGAATATTAGAGATATCTCTATTACAGTGTACATTTAAATATATCTCTATTTGAATATTAGAGATATCTCTATTACAGTGTACATTTAAATATATCTCTATTTGAATATTAGAGATATCTCTATTACAGTGTACATTTAAATATATCTCTATTTGAATATTAGAGATATCTCTATTACAGTGTACATTTAAATATATCTCTATTTGAATATTAGAGATATCTCTATTACAGTGTACATTTAAATATATCTCTATTTGAATATTAGAGATATCTCTATTACAGTGTACATTTAAATATATCTCTATTTGAATATTAGAGATATCTCTATTACAGTGTACATTTAAATATATCTCTATTTGAATATTAGAGATATCTCTATTACAGTGTACATTTAAATATATCTCTATTTGAATATTAGAGATATCTCTATTACAGTGTACATTTAAATATATCTCTATTTGAATATTAGAGATATCTCTATTACAGTGTACATTTAAATATATCTCTATTTGAATATTAGAGATATCTCTATTACAGTGTACATTTAAATATATCTCTATTTGAATATTAGAGATATCTCTATTACAGTGTACATTTAAATATATCTCTATTTGAATATTAGAGATATCTCTATTACAGTGTACATTTAAATATATCTCTATTTTAATATTAGAGATATCTCTATTACAGTGTACATTTAAATATATCTCTATTTTAATATTAGAGATATCTCTATTACAGTGTACATTTAAATATATCTCTAGTTGAATTAGGTGTATCTTTATTTAGTATAATGCTATCTGTAATACTTTTGCGACCCACTTTGGGTTTCGATGTTATGTCGGGTTTTCGTAAGTCGTAGTTAGGATTCCATGTCTGAGATTCTGCTAACCTTTCCACGCTCTCGAGATATTTCATATTAGTATTGGTACGTTGTATACTGACGACCACATCTCCTGATAGCAGCTGATGAAGCTGCTCCCGTTCCTGTACAGAGATGGTTATCTGTGACGGTGACGGATGGTATATATATATATATATACAGGTATATCTTACTACTGACACCACAGATAAGGGATCAAGTCGTTTCCAATTAGTAATATCTTCAATCAGATTCATTTAGTTTACGAGCAGGGTATAATATCGAGCTCAGTATGTCGTATGTTGAAATATTGCACATGTTGGTCTATTTCCCGGTGTGTTGTATAACCATAAATAAGGACACACACAATCTTAGTCTAGTTTTGTAATCGGCAGGCTTTAGATGATTGTGAACTGGACAGTGAGACTCTAGATGACCTGTCCAAATGTCCAGCTGTCTGTCAGCTCCAACACCTTAGTCTGGCAGGTAACTTAGAAACTTAGAAAACACTTATGTTGTAAAAATGAACTTGTCGTTAACATTACGCTGCGTTGCTCTCTGTACCCTAGCCTAACGTATTCGTGATTCTTACAATTGAGTGAATTGGCACTTGAAATGATTTCACGATCCCCGATGCAGATGTTTGGTTTTAGCTATCTTTGGCAGGCAATGCAATGCAATGCAAATGTAAATATTAACTCTTAATACTTTCACTATAAACTTATATCGCTACGGTAAACATTGTAGTATTCTATATTAATTCAATCATTCGATTTGTAGGTAATCGTATACAGGACAAAGACAGTGGGTCTATAACACGCATTATACAGGTAAATGTATACAAGTTCAAGTTGTTTATTTAAGTGTCACATATCACAATTACATTTATGTTCATTAATAAATATAAAATACTTGTACAAAATATAAATCAATTCCATTGGTACATATAAAATACTTGCAGTTGGCTGTTTCCTAGAACTTAAAATAGTTTGTTTAACACAAAAAAAACCCACTTGTAATAGGGATCAATATCGACATTAGATTATTGTGAGACTACCCTTCTTATTATTATTAACATGTAGGTTGCAGTGACTCAAAGTGCGCTACCTTAGGGTTGGGGAGAGCCCTACCAGCGAAGACAGGTCGCTCTGCGCCACTGCAATCATACGATGTAACTTTAAAAATAAAATATTTTTTTATCAGTTTAAAAAAAGGAATAACAGGTTAAAAGTAATTGAGAAATCGATTGGCTCCAAGCGGTTGGGGAGAGCTCTACCGGCGAGGGCTTCTCGAGGTCCCTTCTTAAGGTTACATTTAATAGTTTAAAACACGGTTAAAAGGGCAAAATTTTAGTATTGATCAATAATTAACAAATTAAATAATATTTCAAGGTCTATGACCTATGGTTATAACAGGTTAAAAGGAAATTGAGAAAACGATTAGCTTCAAGCGGTTGGGCCAGTCCCTACCAGCGAGGGCTTTTCGAAGTCCCATCTCAAAGGTACATTTACAACTTTAAAACACGATAGAGAAAAATAAACTTTAAACATTGATCAATGGCTTTAATATATTTAAGAATATTTCAAAGTTAAAGGGAGCTTACCCACTTATAAACCAAACCCCTGCATTGATCCCTGGTAAAAAAAAATGTATTTTTAAATAAAACATGTAATTTAATGTGATACTCAGCCGGATACGGCTTACGAAACACTAATTAATTATTTGCATATACATACAGTCAAGATAAAGAATTCAACGATAAACACCAAGAATCTGTCTGAGTTTTACAAATTAAAAATCGATATTGTGTCATTTTAAGGCTTTTTGACAAAAAGCGTCACACATGTAAATTATTTGGCAGCACTCTTAACATGATAATTGATGAACACACAATTTGTTTGAAATTTGTTTCGGCCTAAAGTGACACGATGATTTATGCTAGTCAATTATCTCACCACCTATTACGTAATGTGTGTTGGCAAAGGCATGTAAATTGCGTGCAGACGTTCCTAATTCAATTATAACATTGCCAGTCTGTAATTGTTAACGTCGTTTTTACAACGTTGTAGTGCATTATATTCTTCCAGAACTGCAAGGCACTAAGACACTTCAACTTGAGCCATAATGCGTTTGAAGCGGATGGGTGCAGAATGCTGGGTCAGGCGATCGGTAAGAACTGACAAGATAGACTATAGGCCTATGTATAATGCTAGTACATCGCGAAATATCTCGTCTCAAACACAGGGACCTGATAATGAAGTATTGTACAAAGCGTTTTGATACTTGATTGACAGGAAGTATAATAAGAGTCTTTTTTCTCTCTCTCTCTCTCATGTCCGCGACTATAGGCCTATGATGCTATTACATCGCGAAACATCTCGTCTCAAACACAGGGACCTGATGACACACTTTTTGATTGACAAGACGTTTTATAGGAGTCTTTTTTTTCTCTCTCAGGTCAGTGTTTTGAAAGTCCCAGTAACGATTGTGTCAAGTTACAGCATAAAAGAATACTGTTAAATGCGAAACTATCGTGGTATATGGTAAGACCACAGTGACCAACAACAGACAAGTCAGTATTCATATAGGAAGCATACTATAGGTTGATAAATCGTTCAAGGAAGGTGATCAACCAAGTTTACAAATAAGATACTCGAGACATACCGTGGCATGCACAACTAAATGTAATCGCCCGGTATTAATACTCCGCGTAACTATCTACGCGACAGGCCAATTTGGTCTGGTTACAAACCATCTGTCTAAACCAAATAATTTAAAAATTAGTACTTAACCACAATAGAAAGTACCTGCATTTATGTACCATATTCTATAACCATGTGCTACACTATATGAAGGAATTTCTTTCACAAATCTTAGTCATAAAAATAACAAGCTGGTACAGAAATACACATAACGACAACTCCTATGTCATGATCTACCACGGAACAATATTATAATCTACCGTAGATAAATCGGGACATTGAAACTCATCTTCTCACTACCTTTTCTCTGTAATGTAAGAGGACAATGATATTGATACATACGGCTACTTTACAATAGTCATGATCGGCTTTCTTAGCGTATTTCAGTTATGACACATTTACTCGTTCTTTGTGTATTCATCATTGAATTGGACAAATAATCGTTACCCATACTTGACATCGATACTAGACAATCGCAACAGCCATGAAGGTGTTACAGTGATCCTATAAAGAATGTCAAGAACCAAAAGCGTTTGAGTACCACGTTAATAGTGGCAAGCTTACGGACGCTGGCCCTTCCATTCAATGTATAATAAAATATTTCGTTCAAGGTTTGATAATTAATACGAAATCCGCATTGTATTTTTTCCATTTACATAAGTTTTATGGTTTTTTGACAGTTTTTTTTATTTCACATGTAGCATGCTACACAAAGTAGAAATTATCGCCAAAGCCATGTAACAATTAAATACATTGAAAAATGGCTATTTTAATAACATTTCAGAGGAAAACACCAGCATTAAAGAACTTGACCTTAGCTGGAATCACATCCGGGGACGTGGCAGTATATACATATCACGTGGTATACAGGTACAGTCAAACCTGTCTAATCCGTTCACCATTAGTACGGATTAAACAGGTTCTTTATTATTTCAATGAAACTTGATATCGATATATCTACACAGGTTAACAAAGTGTCTAGTTTTGTACAGGTTAACTGGAAAGACATCATAAACCTGCCAGGAAGCATGAAACATCTACCTAGCAAACGATCTATTTACCATGTGTTACTACAGATCAATGGATTGGCCTCAACAAGAATTTCAGGGATGAAAACGGGGAATTAAGTGTCATGCTCAGACCAGTCTATTTTAAGAATATGACAAATTGGCCTTTAAGTGAGTTTAATCTTCATAATAATAATAAGTCGAGGTTCTTATATACCGCTTTATCACAACCTAGTTCGTAGGTCGTCTCAAAGCGGTTCACAAATTATTATCCTTGGTTATAGGGCCTTTTCAACCAGCCAATACATTTCTCAACTCCCTGGGGAGCATACATCCAGTGCTGCCATTTCGGCGCTAACAGCTAGCATTCAACCATTCTAGCACTGCCCAACCACGTACTCATTTACAGCTGAGTAGACTGAAACAAGCGGAGTAAAGTATCTTGCTTCAAAGATACAACACAGTGCCGTGCCGCGACTCAAACCCGCAACCCTTCTGTCACGAGCCCGGCGTTTTACCACTAAACTACCGTGCCTCTTAATGGCACTCCAGTACTTAGATTCGATCTAGAGCGTTCCACTAGCTGTAGTGATGATACAAGTCTAAACATTATCCTTTACCTTCAGTACAACACCTGTATCACGGACATCAACCTGGCCTGGAACGGCTTTGGGTTCGAGGGCTGTTCGGCCATGTCCGAGGCTTTACGTCACAACACGACACTGACGAAGTTAAATCTGGCCTGCAATAGGGTCCATCCTCCAGCAATGCTGGAACTGACCAGAGGTATCTGTGTAAACAAGTGCCTTCTCGTGCTGGACGTACGTATAAACCAATTGTCGTGTAGCCTGATGACAGGGTGTTTCGTATAAGGGTTACATGAACTTCTGTATGAACAAATTATTCTTTCGTTTAGAATATAACCATGGCTAGAATGTTTCACTTTGATTTTTTTTATATATATATATAGACATTCTGCATAGTGCCTAATAGTTTTGGAGTGGAACGGTTCCCATTGTATTTGTATTTCTTGCCACACTGCATACTGCAGTTGATGTATTATGGTTTGCTAATAGCTCGCATATGTTAAGAAACCTACAAATATGTCCACTCTGTAATATTTATATAGAATCTCGAGTGATCCTCTCAGATGAAAAAATGCGTAAAATAAGACATAAAATTGCGTCTTTTTCATGGTTTACACCGTAGATATATCTGTGTGTTGACTGCTAAATATTAACCCAAAGACATCAGGTGGTATCTCCAAAATATGAAATAACATTGTACGATATATATATATATATATATATAGTCATTCAAAGACGGGCTGCCGATGGTTTCGTTATTTTTAAGGACTATGAAATAAATATATTTCCAGTTGCAATACATTAAAACGCATATAACATAGGTAGCATGTGATAACATGTGTGAAGCAACTCAGTTAGTTTTTGAACATTTGAAAATCGTATTCCGACAGCTAAATAGCTGCACATTCTTTCAGAAACAACCCACCTGTCTTCACAGCGAAAAAAAACCCCACACAGCTTTGCTGCCATGGGACTAGTAGCAATGGATAGACTATATAATTGCTAAAGTCCAGGCAACTCTGGTTTAACAGGGTACGAGAAAACAAATTATTTGACTTTGGGGCAAGATGAGCAAATATCAAACCTCGGTGTAAAAATGTGTTACCTCGAGACATAAACGTAAGAATATAAAGCCGTGACACGGCACCATGTAGTCCGTTTGTTGTGGTTATGAACTAATTTTATTTTTAACCTACTTGCAGCTAAGTAACAACCCCATCACGCCCATATATACTACCATCCTTATCAACGCCATTAAGAAAAGTCCAGAGATGTCGCTAGAACTACTGCGTCTTGAGGTACGTACGGTGGAATAGGGTTAGAATGACGCATTTATACAGGAGCCACTTCCTACCTAACGACTGTTCTGTCTGCACTGGTGTTGAAAATATTTTCTATCGAAAGCGATTAAAGATGTTATAATTAATTTTGTTCAATTTCAATACTTTCTTTATTGAGTGAACAATATTTGAATATTTTGACGTTAGAGGTCAGGCCGATTTAGAGCATTTGGTTAAGTTATGGATGTTTTACGTCGTCACATCACATTTACAAATTCTGTAACTATGGTGCAAAACTAGGTTAGTAGCTAGCCAGAGTTTCCTTTGGCCCTGACACCAGACTTAGACATTTTGACAGAAAGATGTCTTGTCTGTCAAAATGTCTAAGTCTGGTGTCAGGGCCAGAGGAAACTCGGGCTAGGATAGTAGCATAAAACAGACAGACAGGCAGGAAGACAGATAGGCCAGCAAGCAGATGATTCATTTGTTTCCCTTTAAAGATAGTTCATGTCATACCTGTATAAAATACACACAAATGAACATCGGTCCAATTGCCTTTGTCAGAAATCTAACGTAACTTTGTTAATAACATTTTACTTCCAGAAAATTGTGGTTGATAAACCATTTGTAGATACATTAACCGAGTTGAGGAAACAGCGCGGTTTCGAGGCTGTTTACGAATTGGCACTTCCGGTAAAGAGCATCTCCGAGGACAAGATGCGGAAGGAAATCCAGGCTCCGTCTGTATTTAACATGGACCCACTTAAGTTGCTGTACATGCTCAAGGAGAAGAACCGTGCCCAGGACTTCTTTAGGCGGATTAACAAAGACAACGACGACTCGGTGTCTCCTGAGGAAATCAAACAGCTGTTCAAAGTGAGGCTTCTTCCGCTTCTTAAAGACGCTCTTGTCAATGAAGAACTGTAATCATTAGCGTACTCGTTGTTGGAAAAAAGTTTCATAAATGTATCAAAACTTTTGATGATAAATATCATTTGACTAAATACACGCCAGGTATCCTATCAGAAAGTGTCGAAACGCAGAGGAGGTAAGGGAGCAAAGGAGAATTCGTAGATATAAACTAGCACGCGATCACTGTTGTTCATGTCCGGAAAGTTCAGCAATACATCATCAATTTGAAAATCCCTTTACATTAAATAATTAAATTCCATGTCCATAATGTCCTGAAAAATCCGATTCTAGTGTTCCTATTGTCACAATGGTTTTCCGCTCCCTCTTTTAAGTGTTATAAATGAACGACCCCTGCTATGTAACCTGACAATTCTTATCATATCTACACAAGCATAGATTTTGTTTTTCAAATCATGTGTCCATTGAATAGGAACGAACAATGTACTTGATACTCAGCTACATGTATGTGTTGGGAAGCTAAAATAAATGTTCTATACCTGAGCCTGTCCAATAGCGGTTGGTCTTGTATCATTAATTTGTGGACATGTACAAAAAGGTGTTATCTTGCGACTCGGAGCTTAAGTATATAAGACAGTATTTGCATAAGTCTAGTGACTTTCTGAGAATTCCTCCACTCATCATTCTCAGACAAGTTTGTACCTAATGTCAGCGCGGAGTAACTAGCGTACAGGCAAATGCGTGTAAATACGATTAAGTTTGTACCTAATGTCACTAGGGAATAGTTTTAGGGAAGTTTCCTCGCAAAGGGGGTAGTAATTACCCTATTTTCGATGAAACTTCCCCATTTTCGATGAAACTTCCCCATTTTCGATGAAACTTCCCCAAAAAAGTTTTATTTCCCCATTCCCGGTAGGACTTCCCCTTTTCTGTGAAATTTCCCCTTGGTCCGCTGAAACTTCCCCTTTCTGCTGAAACTTCCCCTTTCCGCTGAAACTTCCCTTTTCTGCTGAAACTTCCCCTTTCCGCTGAAACTTCCCCTTTCC